CATGTCTAAGGAAGACATAATACCAATAATGTACACTCTTTCAGAAAATACAGAAGGTGGAAATATATCACATATTTTATGAAGTCAGCATTCCCCCAATTCCCTTCTTAAAAATAGCATTACAAGAAAGGAAAATTACAGGTGTCCCTCTTGAACATACATAACAATCCTTAACAAGATATTAGGAGTTCAAATCTAGCTATATATCAAAAGGATGATATATATTGATCATGTGTAGTTTTACAAGTGCAAAGTTTGTGTAACATTTGAAACCAATCAATATAATTCACTGCGCTAACAGAATAAAGGAGAAAATTTATGTGAACATCTCAATACATGCAGGAAAAAAAGAACATACTTTTTGATAAAAACTCTCAGAAAAGTAAGAAGTGAAAAAAAAAATCTTAAATCAATAAATATCTATATAAAACTTTGACCTAGATTATACTTAATGTTGACACCCCTTTTCCCTAAGGTCAGGCAATCTTCTTACTCCTTCTATTCAACACTGTACTAGAAGCCAAGACAGCACAAAAAGACAATAGAAATTAATAAATAAAGGCATTAATATTGGAAATGAAATAAAGTTGTCTTTATTTCCAGACAACACAATTGTATATGTGCAATACTCAGTGGTATCTACAAAATACTACTATAATGATCCTATAAGGTCAGTGTACAAAAATTAATTGTATTTAGATATATTAGCAAAGTACAGCTAGTAGAAAATTGAGATACCATTTAGAGTAGTGTCAGAAAACATAAAACATTTAGAATTAAACCTAAAACAAGATGTGCAAGACTTCATGATAAATCTAAAAGAAGAGCTATAAAATCATTGCACTAAAAAGTAGAAAACATTAGTACATGAACTTATAACCATTGAAATAAATGAGAGATATATGATGTTCGTGGATTGGCAGACTCAATAATTTTTAAGATGTTCATTCTTCCAAGTTTACTTATAAATTCAAAGGAATCTCTATAATTTTTTTTCAGAAATCATTAAGCTATATTAAAATTCAAGTGGAAAGGCAAAAGATCTATAATAAATAGCAAGAAAAAAATCTTGAAAGAGAACAAAACTGGAGTACTTACACTTGATTTCAATACTTACAACAAAGTTGCAATGATCAACAAAATGTCATATTGGCATAACAAAGAATAGATCAACTGAATATTTAATTCTGCAATAGAGTTCAGCAATAGACTCATATATGTTGTCAATAGATTTTTGTGCAAGATTACAGTCAGTTCAAAGAGGAAAGAACACACTTTTATAATTAGATATTTCTATGGGAAAATGAACTTTAAGTTCTGCTTCACTCTATACAGAAAAGAAGAATTCAAGGTAGATCAAACATTTAAGCATAAATCCCAGAACCATAAAGATTCTAGAGTAAAACACAGTAAAATATATTTATGACCTTGGTGTGAGCAAATACTTCTTTAGGAAAAAAGTCACTGATATAAAATTTTCTAAAATGATAAACTGGGCATCATCAATATTATCAATACCTATTCAATGAAATATATGACTAATACAATCAAGAGGAAATCCATAGACTGGGAAAATATGCACAATACATCAATATAAATAAAGATGTGTATGCAGAATATGTAAAGTACTATTACTATCAACAGTAATAAGATGAAATACTCAATTACCAAATGGGCAAAGGACTTGAACAAGACAACTCAAAAAGAAGTTATAGGAATGGCCAGTAAACACATGAAAAAGTGATCAATAAACTTAACCTTTTGAGAAATCTGATTTAAAACCACAGTCACATACTATTTCATATTCTCTACAAATGTTAAAATTTAAAGGTGAGAAAAGGAAAATATAACTGAATATTTTTGCATAAAACCCCCCACAATCCCTATCTTTACTTTATTCAAAAACAATAATATTTCATTACAGATCAAAAACACATAAAATACAGAACTATAAAGCTTCTAGCAATAAACATCGAATATCTTCATGACTTTGGTGTCATAAGTTGGCAAGAGCAACTGGCACTACTATACATTCCTGGTGTTAGTATAAAATTATCCAATGATCTTGGAGAAATCTTTGACCATTTTCTCTAAGGTTATACCTAAATCTACACTATGATCTAGCATTTTCACTTCTAAGTATTTAACGCAAGAGTAAAAAAAAAAATGAACACACACAAAAAATTTTTACAAAAATGATCATAGCAGTTTAAGCTCTAATAATAAAATAATTGAAAAATATCCATCAATGGGAAAATGGATCAACAAAGTGTAGTTCTTTAAGACAATCAAATACTACTCACCAGGAAAAGGTAACAAACTAGTACATGTATCAACATGACTGATATTATGCTAAGGAAACAAAACTGGAAACACCAACGGATACAGTGTATGCTTTCAATTAGTAAAATAGTCAAAACTAACCTATGGTCACAGAAGTTAGAATGTGGTTGACTGTGTGAAAAGGGTTTGCCTAAAAAAAGGTTGTAGGAGAACTTTTCAGAGTGCTAGAGAGATTTTTTAACTTTTTTGGGATAAGAGCAACACATATGTATATAAAAGTCAACATTGATCAAACATAAATGTAAGAAAAGTATAGTTTATTGCATGCACTTTATACTTCAATTAAAAATAAAGTTGACTGAAAAATCACTTAGGGGCTAGAGTAGCACCTTAATTTGGTTAAATTATGTTTATTGCGTGTCTATCAAATGCAGGGTACTGTGGTACTGATTAGGTCAGGCTGCATCTCCTCCAAATAAGACAGAGAGAGAGAGAGAGAGAGAGAGAGAGAGAGAGAGAGAGAGAAAGAGAGAAAGAGAGAGAGAGAGAGAAAGGAAGGAAAGAGGAGGGGGAAAGAAAAATGCCTTGGTCTATGTCCTCTTTCATTTTGTCAACAAATATTTACTGAGCATCGACCATCTCCTATATTCTAGGGACTAGAAATAGAATGGTAAAACAGTCAAGTGACTCATTACTTTCACAACGTTTATAGTGAGGAGAAAAATAAGTGTAGAATGTCAACTATTCTGCTTGAATTGAACAAGAAAAGTCTATAGTGAAAAGATGGCATTTGAGTATGCCCAAAATGAAAATTGGAGGAAGCCATTGGAATTTTGGGGAAAATAGATAAGCTTAAGAATTGATTTTGATAATGTTGATAAAGAATTTTTGCATATTATAATCCTTTGCTTATTTTGTTTTTTTGTGTGTAGAAATTATATGAAAATAAAAGAACTATTTATGGTTTGAAAATTCTAGGGTATCATTACTCTTATCTGAAAAAAAGTTTTGGCACAGTGTAGAGTGTGGAATGTGGGAGGATATCATTATCTAATACATGAATGAAATTCTACTCTTACAAAACCAAATGATGCTACTTGGAAATCCTCCGTGTGCTGGTCAGCATTTCTAACACGTGTGAGAAGATCTAGGATTTCCACTCCCTGCATATGTTTAGTGTGTCACCCTGGACATCTGCTAATGTTGAACATCTGTTTTTTGTTTTCACTGAAAGATGTTTCATTTGGACTGCCAAAAGGAGAATGGGGTTATTAGTTATTCTACAATGTGAAGTTATCCAGCAGATTATCCTTGTATGAGGAACAATAATGTCAGAAAAGCCATATCCACTACAATTAATCCTAAAGTTCGCTTCACAATGAGAGTCATTACAGGCATGATTTCAAAAGAAATTGCCGAGCTATCACAAGTCCCGAAGAAAAAACAAAAGTAGTTTTATATAGTTCACCCAGGAATCATTGTAAAAACTGGTGTTTTCTGAACACTACAGTAAAAACATAAGTAATATACAAGATAAGATACTTATGTGTCTTTTGAATTACCTAATGTTTAAATTATGTTTAGTGTCATTTCACTTCATTCATATTTACCGAAAATGAATAATCCGTGTGACATAGCCACCATTAATTTATTTGATTTTTAAATTAATTAGTACAAGTTATTGTCCAGTGTTGAACAACTAAATACTTACTGTTTTATGTGAAAGACTGTATTTCAGAAAGGAAATAAGTTGTACATTATATATCTTTTATAGTCTTATTATATGTGACGATCTATGAAACTAAAATCACTATAATTTTAATTATTTTGATCATCCATAGGCTATAAGGTAGTATGATAGGTTTTGATATTAATAGCTGGAATATTAAGTAGTGCACTCATTTTTCTGCTTAATAAATCTGTTTCTATATTTATGTATTTAATCAGATTCTTCAAAAACATGTAAAATGTCGTAGAAGCATAATCATGTCCTTCTAAAATGTAAAAGTTTCCTTTAAGATTTGATAACTAAAGCTCTGTGAAAAATTATTGTAGATAGTTGTTGGGTTTAAATTTTTATATAAATATTATGCAAACTTTATTTAATATGTATGTAGACATGTTTACTCATGTTCATAATCTGAAGTTCAAAGCAATAAAACAAAAAGGATGATATACACAGAAAAAATGGAATAATAATCTTAGTGTTACACAGCACTATAGAGACTATGTTGGTCAAATCTTTATTTTTAAAATGGGGCACAGGTTTAGTTTCACCCCTCCTGTTTCTTACTTGTTTTCTGTTTTATAAAATGCCAGTTTTATTAAGATGCAAGAGTTCCCGGGAAGACTTGGTGTATGTTTTTTTTTTTTTTTTGGGTGGGGGAGGGTGTTGCATCTTGCTTTATATAAGTATAACTAAATTATTTATATATATGATAGTTATGTATTGTAAGTACCAATGAAACAATATTTTCACACTTGGTTTATCTTTGAAAGTCTGACTTTATTTCTCACATCTGATGAATTCCTCAAATAAGTTATGTCATTTTTTTTTTTACAATGTGCCTATTCAATTATTTTCCAGCTACCCACAACTATACATGCTCAAGGTTTGCTTTGATTATAAATTTAGTGGTTGAAACCACAGTAAGGAACACTAAATAATTGAAAGAAACTGGCTCATTTAATCAAACTAATCTCATATTCTTTTGTAGGAGGAGGTCAAAACTAAATATTTGCAAAAGGAACAACAAAAGGAATGGAAACAATTCAAGGTATAATATATGTACTGACAATACATATAGGATAACTATTTATTATTTCCTTACAGTAGAATATATTAAATTAGTGATAACTACAGACAGTACGAATATTAAAGGAAATTAAATTATTGTAATGAATGGATGCTAAAGAAAATATTTTTACTGAAAACATATTCTTTAGTTTTTTACAGCTTAATACAGTATTGAAAGAGCCATATGAAGCAAATTTGGAGTAACGCCATATTTTTCTCCTAATTTAGATGCAAGAATATGCATTAACTGCAATGTGCTAAGATGTTTATATATGTTGTCTCACTTAACTCCTATAACACCAATTACTGCTTTTCTTATTTTATAGAGGAAGATAAAGGGCTGGAGAAATTAAGAAACTTGTTCAACTAACCCAGATAGTTAATGGTTGATATAACTGCTAATAATCTAAGTCGTGTTTGCCCAATAATCCAAGTTGTGTTTGCTCAATTCCAGATACAGTGAGGGCTTTTTCTTTTTTCTTTTCTTTTTCTTTTCTTTTCTTTTCTTTTTTTTTTTGCAATTTATGATGCTTTCTTGTGAAGCTATAGAATGCAATTAGCAAGTGAGGATGAAACTATCTGTATTTTGCAATATGTGTGTCAAAGGGAAAAAAAAAGAGTGACTATGGTGATTTTCACACTGCTCTGGGATCAATCCAAATTTTTGGCACTTTGAAAATTTGACTGCCAGAATCATCATCGCCATTATCATTATTATCCTCATTACTGCCTTCATCATTATTTATCCAATACCTTCTACAACATACACAGAATGATAAAGCCCTTTAAAGATCTAATTTGTGTACATCTTTAAATGTATTGAGAAAGAAAATAGGGATAACTCGGAGATTTTAACACAGTTGAGAAACACAGTCCCCAATGTATGTAGAAAATACAAAAGGAATACAAAATAAAGGTCTAAGGCAGTGTACTGTCTTTTAAAATTGCAACCTCTATTTTTCTGATGAACACAGCAGATTAATGTGGTATGAGACACCACAACACCCACAGAAATTAAAACTGGCAGGCAGAAATTTTAAGTAGGGCATTTTATTTTTTAAAACAAAAATATTCCAATAGACTCTTCAAAAATAGAGGAGAGTGTAATGGTTTTTCAAACTTCTCAATCTTGGCTCTGGGGCTGGAACACCACAGTGCTGTACATTTTTAGTGTGACTTTATGCTCCTTATGTATTTCTTCCCTTTGTGGTGTAGGGCTGTAGGGGAAGGCACAGACACTGTCCCACTTAGTAAGAAGGAACACGGCAGAGAAACTTACCAAGCATTGATTTCTGTTTGGCAAAGAACAGTGGAACGAGTGGGAGAAATTCCCATGTTAAAGCACTGCTTCCCATAACCATCTGCAATGATGCAAACTTTGGCAGAGTGGCAGTTTGCTCTTGCCTTGATAACTTTCTAATTCTGTGTTCCTGGTGAGCCAATTCTTGGGAGTTTGTACATATTCTTGTCAGTCAAGAGCACTGATTTGGCTCTCATCTGGGATCTGAATTTTTCCAGATAGTATAATCTACTAAAATATTAAGCCTCAGTCTATTTTAAAATATACAAGTATTTTTCCTTTTAAATTTTAGTTCGTTTTCAAATAAAATTTCATCTTTTTAAACTCCTATACATCAAATTAAATATATAAATAAAATATTTTAATACTTTCCCATTTCCCAGAAGTCCAAATCTAATTTTTTAATTGCATGCAATTTTCTAATAATTTTGCCCCTAGCAACTTCCCCTGCCCTATTGAATTTCTTTCAGTTCCCTAAAAGGCCACTCTCTCTCTTACCTGAAACACCTTTACCTTAATTGATTTGTAATTGCTTGTTGTCAGCTTTGCTACTGGACTGTAATTTCAATAAGGAAGACTTAGTGACAGCAACATTGTCATATAATAAAAACTTAATATTTATGTTAAGTGAATGAATGAACCACATACATATCATCAGTAGATACTATTATTGCTGAAGTAGCTTAGGATAAATGTGCCATAACTTTACTGATGTTACCCCAAATCTCTGTGGGTGGAGGTTCCCTGGCAAATCTGGAAGCTTAAGATTCTTCTTTCATTCAAGCTGTTGTTTCTTTAATGATACCCTGCTATCAGACAGTGTTATCACATGTTTACAAAATGATTCAGGGAGCTTCTAGCAAGTTATATCATTCTCTCAGATTTATTAGAATAGTTATGAGAGCAATTATTAAAGAGAAATTCACAGATTTGTACCTGAAGACTGGTGCTCTTGTTCTAAGTCCTAAGGGTCTAGATTATTTGCCAACTGTAAGTTCATCTGCCGCAGGAATTCTTGTTAAAGATGTCTCGTTACCTGCAGTTCAATGATTGCTCCTGGCAGGACATCCGTTCTAAAGCCGAGGAGTTGTCATACAAGTCAACTCTGATTTCTTTTCTTCCTAGAGTGTATCCATTAGGGAATATTGGAACACCTAGGCATTTAGAAGAAAAAACAAAACTCTGTTAGAGTGAGTACATTAGATGTCATCATTTGTAGGCATTATACATTGCACTAAGAAGAGATTGTGAGCTTGCATGTTCATACTTTCTAGCCTAGAAGTCTTAAGCATTATAAGTACCCTACAGTTGTTTTACTGATTGATTGATAAAACTGGAACTAAGAAAAATTAATTGGAAAGAGTATGGAAAAAATATACAGTTGTGCACAGTGGTGTGTTAATCAATATTTAACAAACTGCTCTCCCCAAACCCCTCTATTTATAGCATTTTCCAACTTTCACGGTGTAAATATTCCCATCATAGCAAATTTCAGGTTCCCAGCATGATGTCACTGTATGTGCAGTTGGGAAGAGAGGCACACAGCTCTCATGGGATATGAGCCAGCTTCAGCACCCCACTGGTTTCTGTGAGTTCATGCACTTACACAAGTTTGATTTACCAGCCAGGCCCAGGAAACTGTGACTTTTAATTTAAACCATCCAGAGAAGAAAGGACATGACAGGGAGATGCGAAGGGGTAAAGTTAGGAGAGGTGGGATAACCACTTAGCACTATTATGAAAGATTAAGTAAAAGATGAAATTTGTTGAGAGGGATATCATTTTTTAGTATTGTTAACATAACTAAAACTTTGTCTGGATTTATCATATAATCTTTCTATATATTTTTGCTGGTTCTTCTAAATTAACTTTCTACTGAGCAATGTTTAACATCTGTGCTTCTTATTTATTTTATTCATTGAGACAATATATACCAGGCAGACCTGCCACCTGGTGCCCCTGCCATTCCTGTCTCGAGTCAAACCCCTTTGCTATGCTGAGCAATTTTGAACTTCTCAATCAAAAATGTAGCTTTTATTTTTTTTACTTCATTTCCTTCCCAAGGTTTTGCCTTCATAACCATTCTATTCCGTTTAGTTTTCCTATCCTTCCAGCACAAATTATATTTTGGCTCTGATATTTGTATATTTCTTGATGGCTCTTAACCAATTTTGGATCCTAGTCTTGCTCAAGCCACAACACCAACCATGCTCTATGAAAGAATTCCTGATTGCACCTCACTCCCACTGATTATCTTCTCTTAATGAATACATGTGGTCTATAATTTACACTTAGGAGCTTGGTTATGTACTGACCTATTATTTGCCAAAGTTTTATGCATATGCCCTTTTTCTCTTTTTAAATATATTTTAAGGTACTTATGAACACAGATCATACAAATCAGAATAGCCCTGAACACACAGGGAAACATAATAGCTACTTAATGTTAACTCGAATACAGAACTGGAAAAAGAATAGTTTGAAAAATAAATGTTTTTCCAATATTTTTTATCAGGTTTTAGTTTCATAAACTTAAAAGATTTGAATTATTTTAAAGATTTGAATGAAAAATAGATAGGAATATATTAATAATTGTTACAATATGTATGTTGTACTTGAGTTTATTTTCATAATATGGATTTTTTGTATTTTGTTAATCTAATTATCTTTGAATGAAATATTAAGGTATTATGAATCAGAGTAGAATTGTGAATCAGAGTAGAAATCCATTTTAGCATAAGAAGAGCTAAAGCAATAAAAGCACTAGAAAACATGAGAATGAAATTACTTTTCAAAATATCTGAAGTAATCACTGCATGTTAACTTTCAAACTGTAAGAAATGTTTAATATAAATATTCAATAGATTGCATAATTAAATGTACAAATCATGGATTCAGCTCTTGCCATACCTATAGTTTTCTCATAAGTTAAATGGTTTTATGAATTTAGGAGAAAGTGGTCCAGTGGGCATATTTATTATAATGTAGTAGGTTTATTTTAGTCAATATTTATACTTACATAATAAGTATATTAAATTAATATAAAAATATTAACTACTTATGACTTTCAAGAAGAGACAGAACATACCCATTAGCACATGTCTCCAAATTGTGCCACAAAAGCACAACTCAAATAACCCTGCAAAAATACCCACAGAGGAAAGCACATCAAAAAATCTCACTCATTCACATTATAGCCTATGTAAGTTATTTCTTATCTGTAAATCCAGAGCTAAAAACACATAATTCTATGGAAAAGACAATTTTGAATAAATACAAAATTCCCAAGTGCCCTACCTGAACATATCTTTTGACTACTGATAGGTTTATATTGGCATTCACACCAGTCTTCAGCCCTAATATAATGCCTCTACTATATCCTTTTAAGTGTAAGAAGAATGAAATTAAATATCTTTTAGCCTTCTCTTTTCTAGGCTATATTTGACTAGTTCCTTCAGTTTCCCTCATAAATTTTTTCTCTTCTTTAATTATGTTGTTTCTCTCTTCTGGACTCTCAATTATTAACATGAGACCACTAAATTAAATTTCACCTGTTATGCTCAAATCTCTATGTACCAAGTTATTACATTAATTGACCTGATGCCTCAGGGTAGTCTCCATAACTGAAATGAAATATATTATTGAGACATGAAAATATATTTTTTTTGCTCATTATACCA